CATACTGATGGGGTTTAGTTTTTTATCCAAATTGCCTGTCTCTCTTTGGATTGGGGGATTTAGTCAATTTAAAAATAGAATTAATAATGATATATGTGAGTTTAATACTGCCATTTAATATTAGCTGGCTATTTTGCCCATTAGTTGATGTAAATTCTTCATTATATTGATGCTCTTTACTTTTTGGTATTTTTTAGAAAGGCTGATACTGCCGGGCGCGGTGGCTCACGCCTGTAATCCCAGCACTTTGGGAGGCCGAGGCAGGAGGATCACGAGGTCAAGAGATCGAGACCATCCTGGTCAACATGGTGAAACCCCGTCTCTACTAAAAATACAAAAAAATTAGCTGGGCATGGTGGCGCGTGCCTGTAATCCCAGCTACTCAGGAGGCTGAGGTAGGAGAATTGCCTGAACCCAGGAGGTGGAGGTCACAGTGAGCAGAGATTGCACCATTGCACTCCAGCCTGGGTAACAAGAGCGAAACTCCATCTCAAAAAAAAAAAAAAAAAAAAAAAAAAAAGAAAGGCTGATACTGTTTGTTACTTTCTATGTGTAGCGGTTCTTTCAGAAGCTCTTGTAAAGCAGGCCTGGTGGTTATGAAATCTCTGAGTGCTTGCTTGTTCACAAAAAACTATTTTTCCTTCACTTATGAAGCTTAGTTTGGCTGGATGCGAAATTCTTGGTTGAAAGTTCTTTTCTTTAAGGATATTGAATATTGGTCCCCACTCTCTTCTGGCTTGTAGGGTTTCTGCTGAGAGATCTGTAAGTCTGATAGGCTTCCCTTTGTGGGTAACCTGACCTTTCTCTCTGGCTGCCCTTAGTATTTTCTCCTTTATTTCAACCCTGGTGAATCTGACGATTATGTGCCTTGGAGTTGCTCTTCTTGAGGAATATCTTTGTGGTGTTCTCTGTTTTACCTGGAGTTGAATATTATCCTGACTTACTAAGTTGGGAAAATTTTCCTGAATAATATCCTGAAGCGTATTTTCCAGCTTGGATTCATTGTCTTCGTCACATTCAGGTACACCTATCAAGCGTAGATTAGGTCTTTTCACATAGTCCCATATTTCTTGGAGACTTTGCTTGTTCCTTTTTATCCTTTTTTCTCTAGTCTTGTCTTCTTATTTCATTGAGTTGGTCTTCGACCTCTGATATCCTTTCTTCTGCTTGATCAATTCAGCTGTTAAAACTTGTGCATACTTCAGGTAGTTCTCGTATTGTGTTTTTCAGCTCCATCAATTCACTTATTTTCCTCTCTAAATTGTGTATTCTTGTTAACATTTCGTCAAACCTTTTTTCAAAGTTCTTAGTTTCTTTGGATTGGGTTAGAACAAGTTCTTTTAATTCACAGAAGTTTCTTATTATCCACATTTTGAAGCCTGCTTCTGTAAATGGAACACACTCATTCTCCATCAAGCCTTGTTTCGTTGCTGGTGAGGAACTGTGATCCCCTGCTGAAGGAGAGGCATTCTGATCTTGGATATTTTCAGCCTTTTTTGGCTGTTTTCTTCCCTTCATTGTAGATTTATCCATCTGTGGTCTTTATAATTACCATCTTTGTAATTGGGTTTCTGAGTGGACATCCAACTTATTGATTCTCAGCGCCGAAATCTGAGCAACCCACTGCGCCGACTAAATCAGTGGCGTTAAGATTGATGGTGCTTTTCTGACTTTGCACCAAGAACTGACGCTCCGAGGCGCCGGCAAAACTGCCTCGCTGGTCACAAGAGTCGCGCTGGTGACCTGTGGGGCTCCTGCGCTGGGAATCTCCTGGTGCGTGAGCAACAAGAATTCATGTGAAGGTGTAGCGTCCTCTTGTTCTTTGCTCTTTCACTGGGAGCTACAATCCTGAGCTGCTAGTGATCAGCCATCTTGGATCTCTCTCCTCAATCTGTGATTTATGTTTTTATAGTTTCTTGATGTCCTTTGAAGCACACTTTTTTTTAAAAAAGGAAATTCAATTTATTTGTGTTTTCTTTTGTCATTTGTATTTTTGGTGTTAAAGCTAAGAGACCATTGTTTAATTCAAGTTCAGAAAGATTTACTCATTTTTTTTTCCTAAGAGTTTAATCATTTTCTCTCTGAGGTTAGGCTTATGATCCATTTTTAGTTAATTTTTGCATATGGTTTGAGGTAGGGGTCTATATTAGTGTCCTAGGGCTGCTGTAACATTACCATAAACTGAGTGCTCAAAACAACAAGAATTTATTTTCTTATGGTTCTGGAGGCCAGAAGTCCAAATTAAGGTGTTGGCAGGGCCAGTTCCTTCTGGAGTCTCTGAGGGAAAATTCATTCTGTGACTCTCCTGCAGCTTCTGGTGGTAACTGGTGGTCCTTAGCACTCCTTGACTTGTAGACACATCCTTCCAGTCTCTGCTTCCACCCTCACGTGGCCTTTTCCCTCTGTGTGTCTCTATACGTCACCCCCTATCATTGGATTTAGGGCCTACCCTAACTTAAGATTATCTCATCTCAAGATTCCTACCATAATTATATCTGCAAAGGCCCTTATTTCAAGTGAGTTCCCATTCTGAGGTTCTGGGTGGAGATATCTTTTGAGGACTACAATTCAACCCACTTTTGGTATCCAACACCATTCTTGGTACCTTTGTTGAAAATCAATCAATTGATGTATTATTTCTAGACTCTTAGTTCTGTTCCGCTGATCTGTAGGTCTATTCTGTGTCAATACTGTACTGTACTGATTATGCATATGTCTTTAAGTGTGTAGTTTAAAGTCATTTTGAATTACAGTGTTTAGTGCTGTGTTCGTTTGTTTGTTTCTTTGTATTCCTTTCATGTGTTGAATCTTCTTGCCTGTCTTTCATATTTATCTTTTTGTCATATTTATCATTTTTTATCCAGAATCCATTTTCAGTCTCTTTGTTTTTAATTTTTTACATTTTATTTTATTTTATTTCTAAGTTCTGTTGAACTTGATTCCCAGGAGGCGGAGGCTGATCACACTACTGCACTCCAGCCTGGTCCTGCACTCCAGCCTGGATGACAGAGTGAGACCCTGTCTCAGAAAAGAAAAAGAAGTGCCTGGGTGTGGTGGCTCACCCCTGTAATCCCAGCACTTTGGGAAGCCAAGGTGGGCAGATCAACTGAGGTCAGGAGTTCAAGACCAGCCTGACCAACGTGGTGAAACCTTATCTCTGCTAAAATTACAAAAATTAGCTGGGCGTGGTGGCAGGCGCCTATAATCTTAGCTACTCGGGAGGCTGGAGCAGGAGAATCACTTGAACCCAGGAGGCAGAGGTTGCAGTGAGTCGAGATTGTGCCATTGCACTCCAGTCTGGGCAACAGAGCAAAGACTCTGTCTCAAAAAAACAAACAAAACAAACAAACAAAAAATTCCTTCTTTTTCATCTCTTTTTTTTTTTTTTTTTTTTTTTTTTTTACTTTAAGGAGTTAGCTATTATATTTATTTGCTTTTGCGTCTTGCCAGTTTAGTTTTTATTTCTGAAATGTCTCTTTTTAAAATTTTTCTCTCCTGGATTGTCTCATTTCTTTGTATAATTTTTCTTTTTCAAAGTTACCAAATTTCTAAGTATATAATTCTGATTTATTTATTTTTTCATAGCTTTTACTATTTATTAATTTTTTTGAGCTTGTTTTAAATCTTATTTTGTTAGCATTTCTTTTTCAACTACTGGCATTTTCTCCCTAGTGTGGGATTTGTCCTGGCAGACTTAAGTTTGTCATTTGCAAGAGATTATAGGGACAGGACATTTCCCAGAGCATTCCTGTACTGTCATGGCTTCCCCAAGGATTTTTAAAAATATATATTGATAAGAACTGTTACTTTTGGAATATTAGGTCATTGAAAAGGCAAGTGGAATGAAACAGTCCTATTGGGTCAGTCCTTATCACCAGACAGCGTTGTAGAAAATCATAGGCCGCTGACACAGGTGGCAGGTAGCCAGGGGATCACTGACTGCTCTTATCCAGAGCTCCAAATGTGCCACTGTAGGAGTCTTCCTGTACCTCAAATGAGAAAGTTATAATATTGGCTGCTTTGGTAAATATACATCTCATAGACTGGTATCATTTAAATATGCTGGAACATATAATATTTAATGTTATATGATCTGAGACTATAGTTTTATTTAAAGGCAAACTCCTTATTTTTGTGTAACACAATTCAGAGCAGTCACTTTAGGATTTTGTTTGTCTATTAATTTATAAGCCCTCTCCCCATCCTTTTATGAATCTCCCTCCATGTCTAAAATGTTCTGTTAGAAAAACTTATCTGTTTAGCAAATATCGTGTTTACTTTTAGAAAGCATTTTCTCATGTGTATCACAGATAATTACAGTCGTCTTTCCCCCAGTTTTTGAATGAAGAAACTAACACTGAAGGGGTGAAGTGGCCTCCTAGGCTCATAGGGTGATTCAGAATCCAGGCCCAGTACTCCTTCCACAGTACCAAGGTGCCACACATTAGTTGTCTTGTGGATTTTCCACTCTTCTGGGAGAATGCCAAAGCGTCTTTGCCTTGGGGTGTCATGTACTCAGGCAACTCCTGCCCCTCTTCCTTTTGCCCCAGAGGCTTGGATTCCAGACTCACTGGTGCAAGACTGCCCAGTGAGGCTGGAGGAGGGGAGGGCTTGACAGAAACGATGCCTGAGGGAAAGAGGAGCAAGGAGGAGGGGAGGCAGGAAGCATGGCCCAGCACTCTTGACTGACAGCTTTTAACATGTTTTTGAGAGATCCAAATTGCAATTGAGCTTGCAGGCCCTTCTTTATAGCTATTCGAAATCTGCTCCTTTAATATGACACCTACAGAGACGGGCCACGTGGGACTTGGGTTCATTTAGGCTGCCTTATCAAAGGTTCTAAGTTCTGGAGAATGATGGAGAGTCACTTTGGTCCTCAGCTCTATAATTTGAGAGGAGATTATACTACTATTACTCATTTGAACTTAAGTACCTTGTCAAAGCAGGAGAAACAACTATTGGTTTTTCTTGGGATGATCGACCAACCTGTTTCTCTTCAGTTGCTGATTTTGTAGGGCTAGATCCCAGAATTGCTGCATGGCTTATAGATCCTAGTGATGCCGCACCCTCTTTTGAAGATTTAGTGGAAAAATACTGTGACAAATCCATTACGGTTAAAGTGAGCAGCACATATGGAAATTCCTCAAGAAACATTGTGGTGAGTTGTTTACGGTTTTATCAATCTGAATTCATACTATTATTTCTGGAAGGTTTTTTGATTTTATTGATAACCTAATAGTAAAAAGAACATTGTCAACATTCATTTTCTTTTTTTTTTTTTTTTTTTTTTTTTTGAGACGGAGTTTCGCTCTTGTTACCCGGGCTGGAGTGCAATGGCGCGATCTCTGCTCACCGCAACCTCCGCCTCCTGGGTTCAGGCAATTCTCCTGCCTCAACCTCCTGAGTAGCTGGGATTACAGGCACACGCCACCATGCCCAGCTAATTTTTTTGTATTTTTAGTAGAGAAGGGGTTTCACTATGTTGACCGGGATGGTCTCGATCTCTTGACCTCGTGATCCACCCGCCTCGGCCTCCCAAAGTGCTGGGATTACAGGCTTGAGCCACCGTGCCCGGCAACATTCATTTTCACTTACTGAGCTATTCAGCACAAAGAGTTGTGACCTTGCTGTTTCTGGTGGAGGATGTTGGATAAGAATGGGTGATGGCTGTTCTTCCATGGAACCTGTTCCAGAAATCTGTCCATAGTGCGACTCTTTCAGACAAGTCTCTGGTGTCAGTGTTACCTGCTCCATGAACAGAAAGCCACTCATCAGTAAATTCTTAGTGCTTGTGATATGACCACAGTGCCTGAGTCCTGGGATGGCCCCTCCTCAGTCTGCGTGGAGAGGATGGTCAGAAGTGCCCTGGGTCTGAGGCTGGGCGCAGTGGCTCACACCTGTAATCTCAGCACTTTGGGAGGCCAGGGTGGGTGGATCACTTGAGGCCAGGAGTTCAAGACTCAACCTAGCCAACCTGGCAAAACCCCCTCTCTCCTAAAAATACAAAAATAAGCCAAGCATGGCAGTGCGTGCCTGTAGTCCCAGCCACTCGGGAGGCTGAGGCAGGAGAATTGCTTGAATCTGGAGGTGAAGGTTGCAGTGAGCCGAGATCATGCCACTGCACTCCAGCCTGAGTAACAGAGTAAGACTTTGTCTCTAAAAAATAAAAGAACTGTCTTGAGCCTCTCTCCAGGCCCTTCCTGGCTAGAGATGCCCCTGGTTATCAGGAAGCACCATCCGGAGAAACAGTGGCACTCACAACTTCTAGAATTGTGCCTGGAACCCAGACAGAGACCTCTCAGCAGGCCCCAGAGGAGCGGTGTCTAGTAGTGGCAGTGTGGCCACAGTTGGGGCCACTCTGTTGAGGCTTTCTAGTTAGCTGTCAGTGAACAGTTACATGGTAAAATCACTGCTGGAGGAACACACAGGCTACTGAGCTAGCTCGATCAATCAGAGCAAAGCCAGAGGTGACGTGAGCCTGTGCCTGTGTGAGGCAGCAAGCTGGGGCTAAGAGGTGATGTGAGCCTATGCTGAGCCCCGGGCACTGAGCTGGGGATAAGAGGTGATGTGAGCCCGTGCTGAGCCCCGGGCACTGAGCTGGGGCTAAGAGGTGATGTGAGCCTATGCTGAGCCCCGGGCACTGAGCTGGGGGTAAGAGGTGATGTGAGCCCGTGCTGTGTGCTGGGCACTGAGCTGGGGGTAAGAGGTGATGTGAGCCCGTGCTGAGCGCCAGGCACTGAGCTGGGGGTAAGAGATGATGTGAGCCCGTGCTGTGTGCTGGGCACTGAGCTGTGGGTAAGAGGTGATGTGAGCCCGTGCTGAGCGCCAGGCACTGAGCTGGGGGTAAGAGATGATGTGAGCCCGTGCTGAGCACCAGGCACTGAGCTGAGGGTAAGAGATGATGTGAGCCTGTGCTGAGTGCCAGGCACTGACCTGGGGGTAAGAGGTGAAGTGAGTCCGTGCTGAGCACCGGGCACTGAGCTGGGATAAGAGGTGATGTGAGCCCATGCTGAGCGCTGTGCACTGAGCTGGGGGTAAGAGGTGATGTGAGCCTGTGCTGAGTGCCAGGCACTGAGCTGGGGGGGTAAGAGGTGATGTGAGCCCGTGCTGAGTGCCAGGCACTGAGCTGGGGCTAAGAGGTGACGTGAGCCCGTGCTGACTGCCAGGCACTGAACTGGGGGTAAGAGGTGATGTGAGCCCGTACCATGTGCTGGACACTGAGCTGGGGGTAAGAGGTGATGTGAGCCTATGCTGAGCGCCGGGCACTGAGCTGGGGGTAAGAGGAGACGTGATCCCATGACGTGTGCTGGGCACTGAACTGGGGGTAAGAGGTGATGTGAGCCCGTGCCATGTGCTGGGCACTGAGCTGGGGTAAGAGGTGATGTGAGCCTGTGCTGAGTGCTGGGCACTGAGCTGGGGGTAAGAGGTGATGTGAGCCCGTGCCATTTGCTGGGCACTGAGCTGGGGGTAAGAAGTAATGTGATCCTGTGCCGTGTGCCAGGCACTGAGCTGGGAGTAAGAGGTGATGCAAGCCCATGCCAGGCACTGGGCACTGAACTGGGGATATTTGATCATGTACTTTATCCTCACAGATCATCTATGATGTGAAGATTTGTACCAGTAGGGGTTTGGAAATGCACTCTCCCTTAATATAAAAAGAGAATAATCAGAAGGATATGGGGTAACTCACAGAATCAGAGGAAAAGCAGTACCAGGCCTTGGGAAGAACAGGAGCCAGGCGGCCCTGGGACCCAGGGAGCTGGAACCAGTAGGCATGTTGGCAGCACTGAGCCATGACCTTTTCTCTTTTCAAAAGTCGTACTTTCAGCACTTGGACAGGGTTTTCTTTCCCTCTCTTGTAACATTTTCTACACCCCACCAGGGAGGCAGGGCTTCTTGATTATATTCCTACCCAGAATCCATGCCGTCAGGCAGGGATACTTCTCCAAACACAAGCTGACATAGTAGGAAGAAATAGTTGTCCATCTCAGAATTATCAGTTCTAGTTTACAGACGAGGAGACTGAGGTGTAGAAAGGTGCATGTGCCTTGCTCAGGATCAAATTAAGGCCAGGGTTCAACTCATCCACACTCCAGGGAGAAAAGAGAACTCAGATGCAGTTCTGTTTGTGTCTCATCGGCCAGATATGTGTAGTTGAGCCATGCAGTGCACGGACGAGGGTGGGAAATGGAAGTCCAGCCATTAATCTACACGATCACAGGTTAATCAACACCTTGCTCCCCAGAGAGGTGGAGAATTCTGCCAGGTGGTGCCAAGAACTTGACATGGAGGGGCTCTTCTACAGGATATTCTCCTGACATTCACAGGAGAGCCACAACCAGGTTGACTGGAGAACAGTGCCAGGGCGTGTGGGGCCAGCCACTGGTCCAGTGGGATGTTCACTCTAATCTTGAGCCTTTAGCAGAAAACTGAGTCTGAGTGGGCTGGAGTTGGGGGGTTTGTTTGGCAGGATGGGATGTTGAAGAACATGTCCTGGGGCTCCATGCTAGGGGAAGGAGAATGAGACTCTGTATTGAGGGGCTCATCTCATCCCATCTCCCTCTTGGTCAGTCAAACACAGACCTGTGTTTGTCATCTCCCAGGGCCTCTGTGTGCATCTCCTGGGCTGAGAATGGAGGGGCAAGTGGAACGTGGCAGCAGCTGTATGTGGGTGCAGGGCGGCAAGGCTGATAGAATGGAGCTGTGGACCCGAGAGAGGCCAGGTCTGCATTCTCCTCTCCCTACTACCGTTTAATCCTTGCACCTGAGGCACTAGGCCTCTTTGTGGTTCTGTTTCTCGATTTGTAAAATAAGGAAATACCCTAGGTTGGGAGGAAGCGTCCACCTATGGATAGCCTGTGCTTGCACGGTAGAAGCAGTTTCTATGTAGATGGGGCTTTGTCCAGTCAAGGTATTGGGTGACACAGCACCACATACATGACATCTGCCACTGAAAGCCTCATGGGATTTTCCTAGGAAAAATTGTTCAAGTCATGCCAGTTACAGACTGTGATGAGCACTGCCACAAAGTTTATCTGATTTTTAAAAACACTTTTGCTCTTTTAAAGAATCAGAACATACGTGAGAACCTGAAGATACTCTACAGACTTACGATGGACCTTTGTGCTAAACTGAAGGCAAGGCATTTTATTACAATTTCTGTCTGACAGAGGCTCACAGGAGATGTCTTTTCATTCACACCTGTTCTCCCAGGGAGCAATGCTGCACTGTGTTTGAATGTGAAAGAAACGAAACCTTGAGTTCTGAGAACAAGTTAACCTGTGCATCACTCAGAAAAGGGTAGTCTAGAATGAGAAGATGTGAAGTTTTAAAAATGCTTTCTGTAGGTTAAAAACGATTGAAATATTTTTTAAAGCCTTCTCTTTAAGTGAGATATTTCCAATGCCATAGTTACTGTAAAAGCTGAGCATTAATTTTGATTAATTGTGGGATGGACATAGCTTCTCTCAACCAGAGTCTTCCTGGGAAGCAGACAGCCACTTCAGTGAACGCCCAAGAAGAGCTGAATGGAGGGGTATCTGGCGGTGAGGGAGTGCGAAGAGCAGCAGCCAGGAGAGCCTCCAGGGACAGGCAGGAACTCAGCCTGTTTCCCTCCCTCCTGCCCTCATTGCCCTACTGGTGCCCAATCTGAGAGCAGATGAGTGGCCCAGGCGAGGTGGCCTGGAGGGGCCTGCCCTGCCTTATGGGCAGGGGCAGGGGAGAGAATGAGTCTACAGGGGCAAGAGGGAACATGAGGGCAAGAGTCGGAGGATGGAGCCTGGGACTCTCTCATGGCAGCAGGAAAAATAAAAGTGATGAGACTCATGAAGAGCACAGGAGGACACAGATAAATAGAGATTCCGTGCTCTCAGGAGGTGGCCTGGAATAAAGATTTTATGTTCCCCAAATTAACATTCACATAGTGGCAGTGAAAAACCAATGCGAATTATTGTCAAATTTGGGGAATTCAGTAAGCCTATTCTGAAATTAATGGAAGACTAAAAGTCCACAAATGCTTAAATCAATCTGAAAAATGAAAAAAAGTAAAGAAAATTGAGGATGGGCTTGGCCCATCAGATATTTCTTATGTCTTTTTTTCCACTTCTAATGTTTGACTTGAACCTATCTATATTTCTAAATATCTCTACCAGATCTTGGTAATAAAATGGCCTTAGGAAGAGCAAGCAAGAGGAGTCGAGGTTGTGGGAGACCAAACATGCCCGTGACAGGACTCGCCTCAGTTCTAGCTCAACAGAATTAAGTAGGCTTTTCGGTTGGGCGCAGTGGCTCACGCCTGCAATCCCAGCCCTTTGGGAGGCCGAGGTGGGCAGATCAGCTGAGGTCAGGAGTTTAAGACCAGCCTGGCCAACGTCGTGAGATTCCGTCTCTACCAAAAAAAAAAAAAAAAAATTAGCCTGGCATGGTGCAGGGGTGCCTATGCTCCCAGCTACTCAGGAGGCTCAGGCAAGAAAATTGCTTAAACTGGGGAGGTAGAGGTTGCAGTGAGCCAAGATCGCACCACTGCACTCCAGCCTAGCCTATAGAGCAAGACTGTGTCTCCAAAAAAAAAAAAAAAAGGCTTTTCAATAAAATGCAGATATGATAATATTTAAATTGACATTGATGTTACTTCTTCCTATTAAACAGGATTATGGTTTATGGCAACTGTTTTGTACTTTGGAGCTTCCTCTGATACCAATTTTGGCAGGTAAGTTACCATAAAGATGAAGTACAGTCATTTTTCTAGAGGATTCTTCACATTGTTTGTAATGAATATTTCTCTGTAACTGACTTAGAAGTAGACAGTATGTCTCATGGCACTGGAGAGGTAGCAAGCCTGTTATTTTCCCTTTCTGTAATGAGAGGTTGGACTGCATTCCCTCTTGGCGTGGAAAGACTGGAGGCTCTGACATTTTGGTAATAGGGGATCCCTGCTGTGCTGTCTGGCCCAGGAGGAGTAGACTTCTTTAGATGTTTTACATGCTAATGGTTGCCTCTTCTTCTGGTTTGCTATCCTTATGCCTTGAGAACCTTCCTGCAAGAACTGCTGCAGGGCTCTCTTCTGCCTTTGCCTTTGACGCAGGTCCTGATGGGTACCACGTCAGCCAGGGAGCATTCACAGTATGGGAAGGGCCAGCCTGGCTAGTGTGGTCCCCATGCCCACTCCCACTTCAAAGCCCAGCTCTGTCAATGCGCCCATTTGCCTGTATGACACAGGGATCCTGACAGATCCTGTTGAGAGGTTGGCATGCAGCAGGTACTGAGTCAATGGCAGTTGCAGTCCCTCATCAGGGAGCAAAGCATTTTGGTGTTTAGTAAAAGGATTCATTAATGCAAGTATGATCTGGTTTGGGTTTTGAATCGCAGTGATGGAAAGCCACCCCATTCAGGTGAACAAAGAAGAGATGGAGAAGACATCCTCACTTCTTGGGGTAAGTAATTGTTTCAGACGGTTTGTACTTGTCATCTCTTCCCTACATGGGAGAGTTGTTCCCGGTGGCAGGTCGAGAGTAGATTCTACTTTTCTTCTCTTTCTTGTTTGATGTTGACAGTGTGTCTTCCTCTTTCTGACTCCTGCTGGGGAGAACAAGGCATTGAAAAGACTTAACATTGCATCTAGTGCATGTGTGTCGGGGAGTTCTTTAATATAGCCTCATAATCCTTCTCAAAAGTTAAGTTTTTCTTACAGGGACATTGCTCCCTGTAGTTCGGTGAAAGAAATCTTGGGTTTCTTGAAAACTAAAAATACAGAGAGATGTGTAAAGATGGATGAAAAAATACATAACCGTGCTCTACTTCAATTTTCATAAAGAATACACATGTAGGTAGAGAGTGGAAAAATAGAGACTGGGAAGGGTGAGCAATGGGGAGGGGAGGAGGGAGAGAAACGGGTTAAAGGGGACAAACATACAGTGAAATAAAAGGAAGAAATTCAGTGTTTGGTAGCAGGGTAGGATGTATCAAATGATGGACACTCTGGATACCCTCACTTGACCACTGCACATCATATACACGTCATACATTTTCCCATGTACCTCGTACATCAGCACAAATTTTTTAAAAAGACTAAACTACATGGCAGGATCATCTTTAAAATAAAATGTTCAAAGGAAACCCCAATATAACCATCGCCTAGCTCAAAGCACTGGATTCCAGAGCCCTTGGTGCTTTTCCTGTCAGAACCCCTTTCCCTCTGCCAAAAGTAACTGCAACCCTGAGTTCTGTAGCCTTTTCATTGTTGCTCTTCTTTCTAGCTTCCCCACTTCAAAGCCTAAACAACATAGTTTAGCTTTGCTTTTGAACTGTAAGTAAATCGGTGGTTTACATGTGGCCTTTCACTCAGCCTTCTGCATCTCAGTTCCATCTGTATTTCTGTGTGTCACTTGTGCTGTGGAGTTTTCCGTTGTGGACTGTGCTGCCCTTGGTGTCTCTGTCCCACTGCCAGTAAGCATCTGGTTGTTTCCATGTGGCAATCATTACAAACCAACGCTGTACCTCTGAATGTGTCCCCTATGCCCGTGGGTTATGAGGTGACTGATGCTGCTGGGACACAGGGAAGATGTCGCTGAGTTTTATTCAGTGATGCCCAGCAGCTCTCCAGAGTTTCACCCATGAGAATGCACACGGGATCCTGTTCTTGCACATCCCCACTTCCTCTGGCTGCATCAGACTTTTAAGTTGTAGCCATTTTGGTAAGACTATAATGATATCTCATGATGAATTTTGTTTTATTTTCCTGATTACTAATGTCAGCCAAGAAGAGGTGAAAGACCAGACTGCAAAGCAGTTGGACGAGGCATTTATTGGGGTCTTAGGAACTGCAATTCAGGAGAGGCACATATTGATGTGTTCTGAAGAGAGGAAGGGAAGCAGAGATTTTTCAAAGGAAGCTAAAGTGATTACACAAGTTGTTGTAAAAATATCGTTGGTGGAGGTGATTGGCTTAGCACATGAGTCCATTGAGCTCATTGGTTGTTGCTCTTCAGGAGTTGCAGCACTGGCAAAATCTAGCTGTTTTCCAGGATGTTGTGGTCATTGTAGTTTGGCCCAGTTCAGAGGTTCAAGGCAAGTCCTTGTTTTTTTATTTTTGTTTTGCAGCATTGCAGGTTGTGCAGGTAGTTCTTAGAACAGGTGTCCCCAAACTTTTTACACGGGGCCAGTTCACTGTCCCTCAGACCGTTGGAGGGCCGCCACATCCTGTGCTCCTCCCACAGACCACCAATGAAAGAGGTGCCCCTTCCTGAAGTGCGGCGGGGGGGCGGATAAATGGCCTCAGGGGGCTGCATGAGGCCCATGGGCCGTAGTTTGGGGACGCCTGTCTTAGAATGACCTCCTGACTCCATTTTAGAGCCCTGGACCAGAATGATACCATTTTGTATGTCACATGTTACATTCCTCCCTTTTGCTCAAAATCTGACAAGAGGAAGCATCGCTGATCAGTTGTTAGTTGGTCAGTCATAAATTTGTTAATCTCTTTTCCCCAGAACTAGAACTGCCTGTTTCGAGAATGTCTTATCTCACAGAGGGAGTTGTTGAAAGTCAGTGTGCAATATGGGTTCAGAGATTAGTGAACTTTGAGTAATAAGAGAGCCATTTTAATAAGGAGGCCTGCATTATTATGTGGTGATTAGCTGTATATCTGAAGAGACATACATTTTAGTGACATGTCTAAATGTCATTCCTCAGTCGTCTTTTCTGAAATAGATAATGAGATTTCAGAGACCACATAGAATGCAATTGTGTTTCTTTTGTAAGAAGCTTTCTTAGCCAGATAAGAAAATTACAGAGAGAGAGTCCCTCCTTGCTCTTGGAGTAGAAAGAATAAGACAAGGTTAGAAGGACCTTGATTCTGAGGCTTATTTCTGGAGCCTTTGAGTTTTCAGAAGCACTCAGCATGCCAAATCACCATGTTTGGGGGATCATCTGCCCCTCAACATTCCCTTGTCTGAAACTCCCATAGAGGTTTCACCCAGTAACAGCTGTGTTGATGGATGTGGAGAGAAAAATTGATTTAGCTGGGGGCAAAAGATCTTATTAAACCAGTCTCCCATTTCTGAGAATTAGTTCAATTAAACAGTTGTGTCATTTCAGAAGACGGCATTGCGGACAGGCTCTCAAATGGAAGAAAAAGGTTAATGTTGGGAACATTGTTTAAAAAGGTTTTCTTGGAGTGTGGAAGACAGTCAGTTGAGGTGTCTACATGTTAGACTTGAACCTGCTCATGACTCTTGGGGAACCATGAGAAAAATAGAAGGCCCCCGCAAGTCGAGAGTCAAATACATATTAAACCAGTTTTTAAATTAGTATTTCTTCTCCTGATTTAAAGGACTTACATCTCCACTAGACCACAGAGTAGAGTTTCTTTTTTTCTTTCTTTCTTTCTTTTTTTTTTTTTTTTGGTAAATTCCACAGGGAATCCAAAGCAGGCAGTCTGAAGATGCAAAGGATTTTAGGCCAGATTTTTGTTGTTTAATTTCATCAAGAGAATTTCTAAGGCTAGCCATGACACTATTATGTGTCTTTTTTTAATTTTGAATTTATTTTATTTTATTTTTGAGATGGAGTTTCACTCTTGTCACCCAGGGTGGAGTGCAATGTGATCTTGGCTCACTGCAACCTCTGACTCCCAGTTGAAAGTGATTCTCCTGCCTCAGCCTCCCAAGTAACTGGGATTACAGGTGCCCATGAACATGCCCGGCTAATTTTGTATTAGCCATGATCCACCCACCGTGGCCCCCTAAAGTGCTGAGATTATAGGCGTGAGCCACTGCATCTGGCCTTTTAAAAATTTTTTTAAGAGAGTCTTACTCTGTCACCCAGGCTGAAGTGCAGTGGCACGATCCTGGCTCACTGCAACCTCAGCCTCCGAAGTTGAAAGCAATTCTCCTGCCTCAGCCTCCCAAGTAGCTGGGATTACAGGTGCCCACCACCATGCCCAGCTAATTTTGTATTTTCAGTAGAGACAGGGTTTCACCATGTTGGCCAGACTGGTCTCTAACTCCTGACCTCAGGTGATTCACCCAGCTCAACCTCCCAAAGTGCTGGGATTACAGCATGAGCCACTGCACCCAGCCTGTTTTGTTTTTAGAGACAGGGTCTTGCTCTGTCAACCAGGCTGGCATGCAGTGCTGCTGTAACAGCTCACTGCAGCCTCAGACTCCTGGGCTCAAGCAATCCTCCTTCCTCAGTTTCCCTAGTAGCTGGGATTACAGATACCATGCCACTATGCCTGGCTAATTTTATGTTTTTCTATTTTTTTATTATTTTTATTTTTTATTTTTTTGAGACGGAGTTTCGCTCTTGTTACCCAGGGTGGAATGCAATGGCACGATCTTGGCTCACCGCAACCTCCGCCTCCTGGGTTCAGGCAGTTCTCCTGCTTCAGCCTCCTGAGTAGCTGGGATTACAGGCACGTGCCACCATGCCCAGCTAATTTTTTGTATTTTTAGTAGAGACGGGGTTTCACCATGTTGACCAGGATGGTCTCAATCTCTTGACCTCGTGATCCACCCACCTTGGCCTCCCAAAGTGCTGGGATTACAGGCTTGAGCCACCGTACCCAGCCCTATTTTTTTATTTTTTAAGATAAGTATGTTGCCCAGGCCGGTCTTGAACACCTGGGCTCAAGTGATCCTCCTACCTCAGCCTCCTAAAATGCTGGGATTACAGGTGTGACCCACCATACCCAGCCTATTATGTGTCTTCCTTAAAAAATTTGATCCTCCCGTAAGTACAAATAAAGCAACTGTTTAGAATGAGAGATATCTAAAATATTTTATGGGAGTTTTTCTAATTTAAAGATCCACTGTTCGACTACTGATGGTTAGAATTTCCAATGATATGCTTATTCCAGTAGCAACTCAATCCAATAAGCCGCCTCTTCATGGAAAGCCCAGGAGGTGATTTTCCAGGTTTCGAATAAGTTTTTAACATGTAAGCAAGAGAGTACAGAGCATGACAACGGGCGGGAGGGGTCGGAGTAGGAGATGTTTCTGGGTTTTTTTTTTTTGGTTTTTCTCTAGTTGAGAGTGTCTGAGTTAATCTGGCATTGTTATCTCTGGAATCTTTTAGATTCCCTGGACTCTTTTAGATGCCTCAAGATATCAAAGTAAAGTGGATGTCCCACTCAGGCTGTTTAATCTTTCCTGTGAGCCCTTCTAATTGTCTGGTGGAAAACAAGTTTTGGGAGATCAGAGATTCCCAGACTGGCCATTCTAATTACAAATCACTTTCAGTGATGTTGGCTCAAGAAATAAATTTATAAGATAAAAGATCATAATTTTTGTACAGAAAATCATAAATTCTAGAAGACAGTGACTTAGCACCTATACTCTCAGAAGCAGAAGTCTCCATCAGTACTTACTAAAAACGGGAAAATTCCTCTGTCAACAGCCAGCAGCAAAGGACAGACACTCAGTAAAGGTCTGAACCTCAGCTGAGGTGGGGTGTTCGGGGAAATAAGGGGATTCGCCACCAGGGTCCAGGGCCTTCAGGGAGGTGATAGGACACAAGAGGTTCTTGCAAGTGCAGTGCGCAAACCTGTGGCAGTGCCAGAATGCAGAGCTTTGTGTCCTACCTGTGGCACCTTTTAATGTCAACCAAGAAGAGGCAAAAAACTAGACTGAAGACCAGTAAGACAAGGCATTTATTGGGTCTTAGGAATTGCAGTTCGGGGGGCACATCTAGCTAAAGGCCAAATTGTGTTCCAAAGAGAGGAAGGGGAGCAGAGATTTTTAAAACGAAGCTAAGGGTGAATACACAAGTTGTTGTGAAAGAATTGTCATTGGTGGAGGCGACTGGCTTAGTACATGAGTCCGCTGAGCTCACTGGTTGTTGCTCTTCAGGTGTTGCAGCACTGGTAAAATCCAGCTGTGTTCCAGAATGTTGTGGTCATTGCAGTTTGGCCCAGTTCAGAGGTTCAATGCAAGTTCCTGTTTTTTTTTGTTTTTGTTTTTCAGGGTTTCAGGTCATGCAGGTAGTACTTAGAATGGCTTCCTGGCTCTACTCCAGAGCTCTGGACCAGCGTGCTGTCAATTTTTATGTCAATTTCACACTAATGGGGTTGATTAGCTTTTCATAGCATCATTAGCCATTAGGAATTTCTTTTGTAAAGGATCTGCTCAAGTCTTTTGCCCATTTTTATATTTTTTCTTACTGATATATAGGATATCTTGATGTATTCTGGATACAAGCCTGTTTCCCATACCTTCTGCTTCTGTCTTGTTCTGTGTGATGCTGGATCACTTTTCTAGTCCTAATATTGCTGGAGAATTGATTCTTACCCTCCCATTATTTTTACTTCTTTCAGTTTTCTTACCTTTGGGGGAGGAGGCTTCTGTGAACCTAAGTATTTCACCATGAGGCAAAATATATATTTTTTATTTGTTATTTTATTTTTTTGTAGAGATGAGGTCTTACTATGTTGCTCAAGCTGGTCTCAAACCCTTAGGCTCAAAGAGACCCACCTGCCTCGGCCTCCCAAAGTGCTGGGATCACAGATGTGAGCCACCACTCCCAGCCAAAATATGTATTTTTATGCTTATTTTGATAAATGATAGGTTATTTATTACTCTATTAAGAGCCTTCTTTGGGAACTGTATGTGTGTGTGTGTGTGTGTGTGTGTGTGTGTGTGTGTGTGTTGAGACAGGGTCTCACTGTCACACAGGCTGGAGTGCAATGGCACAGTTATAACTCACTGCAACCGTGAACTCTCAGTCTCATACAGTCCTCCCACCTCAGCCTTCCAAATAGCTAGGACGGCGTGCACCACCATGCCTGACTAACTTTTTTTTTTTTTAAGAGATGGAGTCGTGCTATGTTGCCCAGGCTGGTCTCAAACTCCTGGCCTCAAGTGATCCTCCTGCCTCAGCCTCCCAAAGGGCTGGTATGATAGTTATAAGCCACCATGCCCATATTGCTGTTGGGAATTGCTTGATGAACAAACTAAGTAATTTTAAATTCTGAAAGCTATGAATGAGATTAATTGTGTGTATCGTGTTTTCAGGCTCGTCTCAAGGAATTGGAACAAGAAGCTCATTTTGTTGCAGGAGAACAGTTTCTTATAATGAGCAATAATCAGCTTCGAGAGGTAAAGCTGAATTCTGGTTCTTTCATAAAATGTATTTCTATTCAGGAGTTAAAGGGAGATTTATATTGAATTTATAAAAATTTTATGTCAACTATCTGAAAAGTATAAAAGTTTTTCATGTTGTCTCACAAGTGATGAACACATTGAGATTTATTACTTCAAACGCCTTAAATCAAAGAAAAATACTAAATGAGAATTTAAGTGTGTTGTAACGTCTGTTTGGGTGTGTCTTCTCTGGCTGGTGGCATGAACTCTGCTATAGTAAAGTTCTGTTTCTCTCAATGTGAGATTCCCTCACCACGTGTGTATTGCTTTGTTGAAGATCCTCTTTGGCAAGTTAAAGCTGCACCTGCTGAGTCCAAGGAACAGTTTCCCCGGAACGGGGCTGCAGAAATACCCGTCCACATCAGAAGCAGTGGTAAGCTTTCAGAGTCATCCTCTTTCTTTTCAGAGTGACAGCATGTTTGCACCACATGTGTGCTGACTTTTGACCTACCCGAGTCTCTCAGGCCATTCCCCTCATGCTGGCAGCAGTTTCCGCAGAAGCGGGGCTCCCCACACCAAGGCTGCTTTTCTTGCTATGGACCAAGGAGAGAGAGGCAGACAGTACACTCTTGCAGAAGCCATTAATTGACTTTACTTCCTGAAAAGTGTAATTTGGTGGAGGTCTATTCTTAAAACCACATTCTTGACAATGCAGTCACAACCTCTTCACTTCATGTCCCCAAGAGGAACTAGAAATGTGTCATCAGTCTTCTCCTTTCCCCAGATTTATTTTAGAGAATTTTACCTACCCCTTTCTTAGGAGGAATCCATTTTTTTAAAGACAAGAAGTAGTGAGATTCTCTTGTGTTGGAGTGGGAGAGTATACATCGATGTCTAGAATCCAGTGAGTGCTTTTACTGAACAGACACAGGGTGGAGGTCAGTAAATAAGCGAATTCATGTTATTGTGAATATTGGTTATGGTGGTGAGAACCAGCTTTTGAGGCTCCAGTTTGTGCTTTCTGTGCTCTGTCCAGCTTTTGACTTCGTAGCAGAGGAAGGTTTCTTTGTAAGATGTCTCCTCTGGCCCCATTCCCTCTCCAGCACTGCCTTCCTCCAGTCTCCACCCTGTGAAGGTGTCTTAGAGTACAGGCCCTCATGGAGTCTGAGCTCACTGACTGTGCCTGCACTTGGCCTTTGCTGGTTCTATGGGCATTACTGGGTGAATAATGGACTCCTGCAGAGGATGCTCCACTGGAGGGACTTGGAACTACCCTCTTCCAAATCTTCTTCTTCAAGCCTTCTCCACCTCAGTGAAGGGCCCATCCTCCTTCCAGGTCCTCTGGAGCCAGTGCAGACTAGTGAGTCAGAGCAGGGGCATTGGAGTCACCACTGGCTGGCATGGTTTGCTTGCCCTGGTTTGGGCAACATTAAGACATTACTCAATTGCTCTGTGCCTCAGTTTTCTGATATATAAAAGAAAGGTAATAGTACTTTCCCTACTGGAATCTTGTTAGGATTGTGTGTGTGTGTGTGTGTGTGTGTGTTTAACAGCACTTAGGACTGCACCTGACGTAAAAGCTCTCAAAAGAACAATATACGTTGGCCACTTCAAGAAAAATCCTGTGAGTCGTCCTTGACTTTCCTTCCACCTCCACCCACAGTGAGTGTAACAGTCTCTACCCACAAAATAGGTCCTGAGTGTGCCTCCTTTTCCCCGTCCTCCTGTCTCCACCATAAACCTTTCTCACTTAGATCCCTTCAACCACTCTTGCCCCTGCTGCTCAACCCTCACACCCAGACAGAGTGATCCTTTAAAAGCATTGGGAAATCACATTACTGCCCTCCAACTTCCAGTAGCTTCTGTTGCACTTAGCATCAGATCTGAGCTGCAGAACGTATCCCCAGGCCCATGCTCTGGCTCTGCCTTCCTGGCCCAGCACCTCCTCTTTCTCCTGACTCCAGAGCCTGCTGAACTGCTCTGCACCAGCTCTTCCCTGTCCTCCCGGACTTGTGCCACACATTTTTCCTGCTTGCTTCTGAGTGTCAGCTTAAACATTGCTTTTAGGAGACCTTCTTTGTTCACCCAGACTATAGTAAGGCCCCAGTCACAGCTGTTTCTTCACCTTGAGTTATTTTCTGCACACAGCTCACCACTACCCAAAGTTTATCTTAGGTGTGTGTTTGCTTTTTCCATTAGAATGTAAGTTGTGCAGATCAAAGACTTCAGTTTATTTCCAGAACCAACACTGCCTAAAACCAGCGCCTGGTGCTGAACTCAGCATCTGTGGTGTGTTCATGGAGTGCTGGGTCAGCAGGTGGCTCCTGGAAACCACATCTGCTTTGCTGCAGGGACTAAGGCTTGAGTCTCAACATCACACAACAGACATGGGCAGCATGCCCCAGAGCTCCAGCAGGGGGCACTGCCTGAGCAAGCCACGCGTCCCTCACCTGCACCTGAGTTCACCTCTGTCCTGGCACCAGCTGGCACTGTTGCCCTTCCCTTTGCAGCTCCCTTCCCTCTCCAGACAACCACAGTTCAAGAAAGGAAGCATCACTCTCTTCTGGTACTGATGTGCTCTCTTGTAGGAATTGCTTTCATGAGGAGCTCATTCTTCTCCCACGAAGACATGATTAGCATAAATTGTATTAGCCTCATTCTTTTTTTTTTTTTTTTTTGAGACGGGGTCTTGCTCTGTCACCCAGGCTGCAGTGCAGTGGCGGGATCTCGGCTCACCGCAGTCTCCACCTCCCAGGTTGAAGCAATTCTCCTGCCTTAGCCTCCTGAGTAGCTGGGACTTCAAGTACACACCACAAATTTTTGTATTTTTATTAGAAACGGGATTTCACCATGTTGTTCAGGCTGGACTTGAACTCCTGACCTCGTGATATGTCCGCCTCGGCCTCCCAAAGTGCTGGGATTACAGGTGTGAGTGCCACTGTGCCTGGCCAGCCTCACTCTTTTATTTAACTGAGTAAGTCAGGTTGTTTATTAGTGCATGTAAAAAGATCAGCTTGTGACAGGTACATGGCCAAATGCAATATTCAGATTCTTTCTCATGACTTCTCTCCATCCTTCCTGCCCCCTTCCCGGAGGCCTTGGTGAGTGTCGTGGCTCCTCCCACCCCGGCACCTGTCCCTCCCTGCCCTTTTCCTCCATGAATCCGCGTTTGATGGTTTCCTAGGTGTCACACACAGATTTGCTGCTGCTCAGCTCCCCAGCCTAGATGAAGCCCCAACAGTGCACAACTTTATCTGTGCCTGGGATATTCCCAGTGCTTAGTATAATGCCTGGGGCATGCTGGATGCTCACGAAATCACCAATGAACCCCTCAAGTTTTGAGGTATACTATTTTTTTCTCATTGTTTAACTCCACATATTTTCTCATTTCTGTTATGATTATTTGACCATTGAGTTCTTTGGAAGTGTGTCTTAACATTTCCAAATGTGTGTGGGATTCCCAGCTAGTTTTTGTTACTGATTTCTAATTTTTTTTTTTTTTTTTTTTTTTTTTTTGAGACTGAGTTTTTGCTCTTGTTGCCCAGGCTGGAGTGCGGTGGCACGATCTCAGCTCATTGCAACCTCCTCCTCCTGGGTTCAAGTGATTCTCCTGTCTCAGCCTTCTGAGTAGCTGGGATTACAGGTGCCTGCCACCACACCCAGCTAATTTTTGTATTTTTAATAGAGACGAGGTTTCACCATGTTGTCCAGGCTGGTCTCAAACTCCTGACCTCAGGTGATCCTCCCACCTCGGCCTCCCAAAGTGCTGGGATTATAGGTGTGAGCCACCGTGCCTGGCCTTGATTTCTAAATTAGATGAAGTGTGGTAAGAGAACATGATCTATGCAATGTCAGTTCTTTGACACTCACCTCAGGGTTCTCAGATGCTCCACATGGGCTGAAGCAGGATATGTGCAGGATAGTTTCGAGTCCTGTGGTGCCAAGCTGATCCACTCACTTCTGCTGGGGAATAGTGGGAATTCCCTCCCCTCAGTAGGCACGCGACGAGTGGGGAACAAGGGTTCCTTCCTAACGCACTGAAGGAAGCTTTGGTGTTTTTTCTGCAGTGAAGTCACATGTTCTCAGAGCATCATAGGGAGTTCAAACTCTGGGAAAGTGGTCCAGTCTTGGGGTCAGGATTCCTGGACCAGCCACTCATCATCTCTGGAAGTGGCTTCTGAGACCCCTCGACGAACTGAAGTGATGGGGTCTCCAGGTCTTGTGCATGCACTGACCCCACTGCCTGGCATCCAGTATGTGGGATGCAGCAATGAGCATAACAGATACCCTTCCTGTTTTATTCAGCAAACACTGCTGTGGCCCTGGCTCTGCGTTAGGCACCGTTTATGGTTTGGTAGGGAAAAGGTCTTTATCATCATGGACTGTGTATTCCAGTGAGGAACTATAGTAGGGTTCTCTGGAGAAACAGAACCAGCATGACACATACAGATACAGATACAGACACAGATACAAATACAGACACAGGTGATAGGTATTTGAGAAGGGATTGTCAGGGATGTTGGTTAACATAGTTTTGGGGGCTGTGAAGTCCCACGATAGGCCATCTGCAAGCTGGAGACCCAGAGAAGCTGATAGCATGGTCCAGTCCAAACCTGAAAGCTTTAGGCTGGTGAAGCTGATGGTGTAACTCTCAGTCCAGGGCTGAAGGCCTGGAGTGTCGCCAGTGTGTGTACTCCAAATACTGGACAGTCTGGAGTTCTGATGTCCAAAGGCAGGAGGAGAAGGGTGTCTCAGCTCCAGAAGAGAGAGTGAATTTGTCTTTCCTCCGTTTTTTATTCTAACTGGACCCACAGCTGATTGAATAGTTCCTGCCCACATCAAAGCAGATCTTTCCTGCTCTGTCCACCAACTCACATGGCAGCCTCCTCTGGAAACACTCGCACAGACACACCCAGAAATAATGCTTTACCAGCTGTCTAGTTATCCTATAACCCAGCCAAGTTGACACCTAAAATTAGATATTACAAGAACCATCCAGCAGGATAAGAGCCGTTAAGGTCACTCTAGACTGAGTGGTCCAGGAAAACCCTAAGGAATTATGCATAAGCTGAAGCTTGAAGATCAGGAAGTGCCTATGCAAAGAATAAGAACAAGGCCTTGCACTGGGAAAGGCTTAGGCTGCTCAGGGGGCTGAGGCTGGAGCCTTGTGACTGAGAGGAATGGGAGGGATGGGGTTGAGAAGTGAACAAGGACCCAATTCTGCTATGCTTTGCAGATCATGGGGAGGAATGTGGATCTTTAGAAAAAAATGGGTAGCCTTCCGAATGTTTAAGTAAGGGAGCAACTGTGATACTAGATTTTTTAAAAATATACTTTAATGGCCAGGTATGGTGGCTCATGTCTGTAATCCCAGCACTTTGGGAGGCCAAGGCAGAAGGATTGCTTGAAGCCAGAAGTTCAACACCAGCCTGG